ATATATATATTGACAATAAGACATCATAGCTATAAGATACAAGACAAAAAGAGAGAATAATTTTTGCCATGGAGAAATGGACTGATACCAAATGGGCACAGTAAAGCAAGCTGGATTCAACAAATTCTGTGTTTACAAAAAAGAAAAACCATAGGTTAGGTTTAGCATTATTTCAAGAGAATGGGTTAAAAAGAATGGATGGTCATACAATAATTACCAGACAATAGCAACCCAAAAGGTAAACAACTGGCATACACATAGATACAGGCCTTAGGAGGAGGATGCTTTGCAAAATTCCCATAAAGTGTGAACATTTAAATGCTGAACATATTCTAGTACACACAGTTAATATGAGATTCATTGCTCGATTTTGATATTAATTATTACAATCCACACCAATTTACAAGATATGTTTGATTCGGCCAATTGAGCTTTATAGTTTTGTCTCCAAAAAATATGTCTTACAAGTTAAAAATGGTGTAAATATTTAAATATTTAATTGTACTCTAATACACAATTGACAATAAGGAAGTTTGAACAAGTTACAAACCCAAGGTCAAGCTGAACCAAATAGCACAAAATATGATCATTTCAGCCCATCTGATGCCCATAAACAAATGCTTTTTAGCACATATTCGAATTTTTCAAATGAAAGAATCCTTTGCAAATAAATGTGGGGTACTTTTAACATTTTGCATAATCCAGAATGTGCAGCATGTTCCTCAGTTGTTTTAATCTTTTCTGACAACAGGTGCAGAAAGATTACAAGGATGAACATATTGAATCTTTCAGAATTTACTCAAGGTATCATCGAATGCAGTAAAGATTTGGCAGAGTTCACTGAAACAGAAAGTCACAAAACGGCCAAATCCTTGTTTCCTGGTCGATGCATAAGAAAACAACATAAGAAAAAGAACAGAACTTTTGAGAAGTAACAGTAGCTCGAAGATGGCTTCAAATACCGGACTATCCTCATGCTGCTAGCTATATCAACTGCAGCATTGGAATCTTATCCCAAAAGAAAAGAACAAACGGAATAAGGACCGTTTCAGGCCCACCAATTGCCACTACTCACACGTGAATACTTCCCTCCCAAATTTGTAAAAGGCTGTCTAACTTGAGTACTTTTAACTGTATGCATTTCAAGGAAGAATGCTGTTGATGCTGTAATACAGGCAAGGCTAAAAACAGTCTTGAGCAGCTCAGCAAAAGAAGCAGACATTTGGATTCCAGTTGAGTATAAACGAAAAAAGGATCAGCAACCAAAATATATATAGAAAGTTATGTCTGCTACATAAATATCTCAGTGCCGAAAGGTTATTTAAGATAATGCTCCTATCCTTTTTGCTTCCTCTGTAAATCTATACTAATCACACTTTCAAATTCTCCCTGATTAAGTTATTGATTGATAGGGTAGCATATGAAAGCCCTCGTTTTAAGGGTAGATGTCTGAGACCCACTTGACACAGAATTTTCATGCATAATTGCATATCTTGGGCAAAACAACCTGTCATGAATAATTGGAAACAACAAAGATTTGATATGTAGGCAATACATATCTAACCAAGTTTGAAAAAAGATTTCGTAAACCAACATCTTTGGGTCCATGTGAACTCAACAAATGAGATGTGTTAAATGCAGCAAATATCACTTTTTGGCATCCATATGCGAAGAAGACGGTCATAAAATGAGCAAGTGGCCACAATATTACTCTTGCTCTTGCCTCCTGGTAATAATTTATCTTTTTGCCAGTCTGCCCCATATGCAAGCGAGCCATGCTGATTGTAAGTTTCAACAACTTCAGGTTTCTCCCACCCAGTCTTGACAATTGCAAATCCGTTATGCATACAAGCTGCCAAGACCAAGCCTGGCACAAAAGGATGATGCTTGATTCTCCAAACTCCTCCCCCAAGACAAACTGACATTTCATTTACTGGCCTTGAGATCGACCTTAGATCCCATACCCTCAAGTACTCGTCATAGCTACCTGTAAGTATGATATTTGGATCACTGGGGCTCTTGGCAATGCAACAAACTCCCATTTTATGGACCTTGGAATTCTGGAATACCATCTGGGCTGGACTGTCCCGCATATCCCAACAACTAAAGTTGCAGTCATCAGATCCTGTATATACTAACTGTGGTTGTTGAATGTCGAAGCAAGTTGTCCATAGTTCAAAATCATGTGCCTTCCACTCTTGTAATGTTTCCATTCCAGACTCTATAAGGGAAATTATTGAGACAGAACCATCTGATAGACCAACAGAGATGGATGTGGCCGATGGGTTCCAATCCAGGAAAAGGCACATGGAGGAGCTGATTTTTTCACCATTGACTGCATTAAGAAGGCCTCCTGCATCAAACATAAATAAATTTAAGAAAAAAATAAAATGTATATATAAAACAAAAAAAATCTAATCTCATGCCCCATAAGCAACATGCTTTCTCTAACAATAGCAATAGAAGAATTTTAAATGCAAAGAACTTGATGTAGAATTAAAAATATTAAAAACAATTGTGGAACAGTCCTAAATCAGCATTTGAATTCACATGATCATATCGAACGTTTACAAGCTTAGAATGATAATCAAACTTAATGATGAATAAACTCTCCTCCTCTAGCTGCACATGCTCACATGACATAGCTTAGGATATATTTGCTCAACAGAGTAATACTGAACATTTTATGGCCATGATTAACTTGAAAAGAGTTAAAGTTAGTTGCCTAAAGCATTAATCGTAGGGAAAAAGTTGTTAAACTTCACTCAAGCGCCAAAAATATGCTTTCTCCTTTTTATTACCACAGAAACTTTAATTAGATGCATAGCACATTTTGAATCAATTTTACACTACTCCAATGTTTGCCAATCACTCTGTAACAAGGAGCAAAATTTGAAGTAGTAGCAGCAAACGGATGGTAATTTGAACTGAACACCAGTATTAGCATGCTCTGACACTAACTTAAAGTAGATAGAAATAATTTTAAAAGTTCATTTATGTTTGTATACACACTACAAGTAAGGGTCTCCAGAGTAAAATTTCACCATCAATTCAAGTACCTTATATATTTTCCCTAGTTAATGGAAATTGATCCATACCTAAGCTATAATTACACACTTCAAGTCGATTACTATGCATTAAACAACATGATGACATGAATATTACAGCGTAAAAAGCTTGATGTTTGTTTCTTTTCCCCATATTTTTTTAGCGGTCCTGTTATGGAAGATATTCAATCATTAGAATCTTCAATCCAACGACAACGCGGATTTCCAACTGTAGCAAAGTAAGTTTGATAAAGTATGAATAACTTTCAGTCATCAACAACACAGGACTAACACACACACACAGAGACAGAGCTCCACATAACTTACAGCAATACCTCTACTACCTTCGTCTCCATCAGAGCAACCCTCTAAACTGTAAATTTTCAAGTACCCATCAGCATCAGCTTGAGCAAGGAGAGGACCCACATTGCCTCCGACAGGGCTCCACTTAATATCAAAAATCCCAGCGGTATCCACCCGATGAAACAATTCGAGATTACCCTTTTCATCATTCACATCAAACAATGAAATACTACCGGCTCGGCTCGGTTGGTCGCCTTCTTGCAGCGTGTAAGTCGAAGCCGCTAGCACTTGTTGGTAACCTTCGTGCGGGCAGAACTCCACGGCATCGGCATTGCCTTCTAAATAGCAATGAGCCACGTCCATTCCTCTGCTGTGCATTTCATCAAACAGGTTATAAGCACACAATTGAAAGTTAATTTAACCCATCAAAGTTAATTTAACCCATCAAATAGAAAAAAAAAAAAAGAAAAATGAAAATTTTGGGTTATGATTGGCGGGAAAATGGGAAAAATTAAGAGAATGAGAAAATACCGTTATGTTTGTCAGTTGGAAGTTTTGGAAGTACGAAAGTTCCAGGGAGGAAAATGATAAGCGCACGGTCAAGGAATGAAGAACAAAGTGGGCCTGACGTACGGCCCAAAGATCTATAGTCCAAGATTATTGGGCCAATTTGGGTCCTGGGGTGAAAGATAATATTAAGAAAAGATGCATTAAAGTTATATTTGTGTTTTTCTTAAACGAAGCATAATACTTAAAAAATTTAAATAAAATTTTATTTTTATTACATTCCTCAAATTTTCATAATTTTATTTCAAATTAAATAAGTCTTTATAAACAACGATCAATTAATTATTATTAATTACAATGTTACTTGTCATTTATGAATTAAACATTACTTATTAATATGTTATAATAAATTATGATAATATGATATTATGATACAATTATGTAATATTTTTTATTTTTCAAGTTAATATCACGTGAATAAAAAATGACAAAGGACATTTTAACTAATAATCATTAGTGTAGGGTCTTTTTGATTTAAAATAAAAATATAATAGTTTGATTTAAATGTAATAAAAACCTAAAAACTTATTTGAATTTATTTTAAATAATTCAAAAGTTCTTAAAGTAATTATACATATATTATTTTACTCAATTATATTTTATTTAACATACTCTTCCTTTACTTTCTTTGTTCCCATCTCAGCCTCTTTTTTGTATTTTTTTATTGCTTATTCATACGTCCACACAGACACACACACACATATATATATAACATTTTACATTATTGAAAATAAATATCAAAAATAAAATTTGCATACAAGATACAATAACCTAGAAGCTTTCCTTAACTTTTGTACCAAATCAAGAATGAAAAAATATTTCAATTTGAGATGCTTTCATAATTAATTTATTTTTCTTCCCCTTTATTAGCTTTGTTGCAACTCTTTACCCAAAAAAAATTACAATACACTTTATAAAATAAAATAAAATAGAATTCGAACAGTTATAATGTGTGTGTTCGTTTCAAAATTTAGTACTAACTATATAAGTTTGGAATAATTGTATCCAAAATAATTGTATCCAAAATAATTGAATGATAAAAACTAGAGCTAGGGTAAAAGGGTTGATCAGCATAGTCAATTACTATCTAGTTTACTAGTTATTACTTAGGGATTGGATTCAATAGGTAAACATGCGTACATACATAAACACATAAATTCGTAAAAATGTAAATAAAAATCGTATATATGTACATAAATTCAGACTCGATTTAGTAATTACTTTCCTCTTCAAAAAGATTAAGATTCAAAGTCGGAATTTACGTCCCTCTCTTATAACAAATTGTGAATAAAGATCATAAATTTATTATTTTATATGAGAATCATATAAATTTTGGCCGAAAAGGAAAGATGGCTAGGTTTTGTTTAGATTTAAATCACGTTTCTTAACTCTCATTCGGCCGTTTAGGAAGAGTGTTTGTGTGTTTGCAATTAATCAAAAAGTAGGTCCATGGATTCATCATATTTTAATTGATTGCGTCTAATTAATTAATAAGATAACTATGCATGAACAATACAACAGCATTAAACAATGTGATCACGATGACTTTTAGGGCCTCCACCATGTAATGTCTGCACTAAATTTCATTCCCAAGGCCAAAGGGTTAGGACCGGAGTTTGAATTGTTTAAAGTTTTAGATTCTCTTCTATCCAACCCATGGAAAGGTAGCAAGGGAGTTTTTCTTTTTGCTTCTTTTATCTTTTTTTTTTAGAGTTATTATATGCACACTAAATAGTCTATATATCGATAATAGTTTCGAAATGAAAATTCTAAGTTCGAAATCTCTTTATTTTATGAATAAAATGTTTGATTCGGACGTTAACTTGTTTGTTTTAATAGCATATAGTACTAGATTTGAGCATTAATAATTCTTCATCGACGTTATTCAAATATAAGCTCTTTCCATGTTACAATACTTTATAATTTATATCAATGATATATAATTTATGTTTGAAATCTTCCATTAATGAACAAAATGTTTGATTCAAATGATTAATTTGTTTGCTTTAATAGTAAGTAGTATTACATTCGAGTGCCAATGATTGTTCATCGATGTTATACAAAATGTAAGTTCTTTCCATGCTACACGCATTGCGATATTGCAAGAGTTTATATAAACAATATATAGTTTCGAAATCTCTCTCTTTCTCTTATCAACAAAATGTTTGATTCAAGCAATCAATTTGTTTGTTTTAATAGCAAATAGTGTTAGATTTGAGTACTAATAAATTTTTCATCAACGTTATTTAGAATGTAACTGCTCAATTTATATCAACAATATATAGTTTCCAAACGAAAATTTTAAGCTTAAAATCCATCTCGTATAAACAACATGTTTGATTCCAACAATTAATTTGTTTATTTTATTAATAAATAGTATTCAATTCAAATATTAATAATGTAAGTTCTTCCGCGTTGCACACATTGCAATATTTGGTTTAAACAATTAATTTGTTCATTTCAACAATAAATAGAATCAAATTCGAATATCAACTAGTCTCCATTAACGTTATTCAAAATGTAAGTTCTTTCCTTATTGCATATCTATCTGTCTCTAATTCGATTTATATCCAACCCAAAAAAAAAATCTCACTCTTCTAATTGTAAAAGTAAAAAATAAAATATCCGAATATTTAGTTGGAGGAAAAATTCAAGCCATCATTTATTGAAAAAAAAAATGAATTTAAATGTGGAGAGGATAAAAAAATAATTTACATTTAGTGATAGCTCAGCAATTGCAAATTTAATTATCCCACTTGCTTGGTAAGAATAGTGCATGGTTGGATTAACTTAAATATGCCGTACAAGTCCAATGGGGAGAAGAAGCGAATTCCTATCGTGTGATCCACACACGACCTAGATTCCCTTTAGAATTTCTCCCCTCATTTCCCTTCGACTTATTGCAGGTTCAAATTTCAATGACGTTGATTATTCTTCTCCCTTTATTCTCAACCTTCCAACCTTTTCACTCCTTCTATGACTTCAAACCCACGAAAATCATGCCATCAGATAAAGAAATAATTAAAAATTAAATACACATTAATCAATGTAATGGAAGGTTTAGTTAAAAAAAATGAATAAATCTCACTTACATTTCAAGTGATATCTTATGATTTTTTCCTTCATTAACGTTACCTGATTTTTATTTTGTTCAATTTGCTACTTTGTGAATAATTTCTGTTCTTATAAGAAGTTAGATTGTTAATTTTATCAAATAAAAATACCAAAATATCCTCACATAAAGATAATTTTGTAAGTTTATTTATTTTTTTTCTCACTTCATATAAGATTTTGTGAATAATTTTTATTCTCATAACAGATTAAGCTATTAATTTACTAAAGAAAAATAGCAAAAATATCCTTAACTCAAAATTAATCTATTTGTTGGCATTTAAAATAATTTTTTGTTAGTTTATTGAGCAAAATTAATCATTTAACCTTTCCTGGATATAGAAGTTATTCATAGAATACTAATTAAAAACAATACATGAAGTGTTAATTAAAAAAATTCATAATACATTATGTAAAACAATTGAAATCACAAAAGACATAAATAGAGTTTACCCTTAATCAATTAAATCACATTTGCTTAAAATAAGCTTAATTTGTAAAGATCTAGTATATAAATATGATCAGTATATATAAAGTCAATTTGTCAGCTTATGGTCATAGTTAAGTCAAAGGGAACAAAGGAAAAGGTAGGCATTAGTTCAGCTCCATGGGTGTTCTTTTTGCATTTATTTATTTATAAATTAAAAGTCACATCCCCTAAGATTACTAAGAATGATGATGCAAATTTTGATTAGGGAAAAAAAAAACTTAAATTAAAGTTGAAGTGGAAGAATAACTGCAATTATATTGCATTTGCATGATGAGCATTTGTCCTAATCAGAATCAAAGGTACTTTTGTGGTAATTTAACAAGACAATTTCACTCCCATAGGCGACTTCTTCCCAATACTATACTTAGTGTATTATTTTTTTAATTTATATTATAATATATATATAAATATACAGAGAGAAATGGTAAGAGCAAGTGAGTTAAGTTATTATTGGTGTCTACGTGGGTAAAAAGTGAATCTTATTAATTTTTTAAGCTGAAATTAATAAGATGTAATGTAAGAGATTTATGAGTTGTTGTGACAGTGTTTTTATTGATTTTTAACAATAATAGATGGAATAAATAGATTTGAAATATAATTAAAATTAATAATATTATACAAGAATTACGTACAATCAGAGGCCACCTAACAACTTTAAAACTTTTATATTTACTTTTATTTTTTTTGAAATTTTTAATTTCTATCTCTATAAAAATTTTAAAATTTTTTAACATATTTTTATTCTTTTAAAATGTTATAATTTTATCTTTATAATAGTTTTTTATTTAAAAAATACTCCACAACAATGAGTCAATAGTTAATTTTAATGGACTTAGGACTACAAATAAAACCTATTGTAATAAAATTATATCCAAATCCTACTTCTCAAAATCTCACAACTACCGCTTCTTGTTCTCTTTTATTCTTATCAAATAAAAACAAAAAATCATTTTTTCCTTGCATTTTTTTATTTGAACATTCTCTGTGCATAAAACTTTTAGTTAATAACTTAAATTTCATATCATGATAATAAATAAGTTTGGTTTATTTACTGTTATTTTATTTTTAATATTGTCAACTTATAAATTTTTTTATTTAGAGTTTACTGTTTTACTAATTTTTTGTTGAAAACAACAAAACAAGAATTTGATTAAGTACCTAAAGTTAGTTATTACTTATTTATTTAGAGATTCTTGATTGTTTTTTTACAAATTATTTATTTTTTTACTTAGATTATTATAAAGAATTAAGTTTTTTATTCGTTGATTGCTTCTTCGTTGAATTGTTTATTGATATTGTATTTAATTTTTGTGATTAAGTTTAGGAAATTGCTTTCTATTGAATTGTTTATTGATAACACTTAATATTTTTTAGGATATTGCTTTCCATTAAAACTTTTGTCATATAATTTGCTAATTTTTGTTTGTTGTTAAATTTTATTTATGAATTAAGATTATTGTCATTATTAAATTATTTATAATTATAATAATTAATTATTTTATATAAATCATTGAGATTGGTTCTTTTGAATAATTTTAAAGATTTCTGAATTATGAAAATAAATTGTCACGAGCAATAAGAAAATGGAATCTTATTTCAAGAAGAAAAAATGTGAATCTTTATCCTTCCAAACATAAAATCTTTATTTTTATCATTGCCTACAATTGATGTATTAACTCGTAAATATATGTAAAAAATGTCACAAAATTACCATGATGTTGGACATACATCATAGGGTAACATCACATCACATGTATATATATCAAAGCATTACTACTTCCATGCAATTGATAATTAAAGTCAATCATCAAAGGAGAAATACTGAAATAGTTCAATTCCATTGTACAAGAAATAGAGTATTTATAGTAAGTGTTGTTGATGGTCAAGAACAGAAGGTGAAGCAAACGCGAGATGTAACAGCGTGGAGTGAAGTCGAGAAAAGTTTGAAAAGAAGGTTTTAACTCAGGGCCAGGGCTGAGGCCAGGGGGCGCAGGTTCAGTTTCAGAGTTTCTCCTGGTTTGTACGCTAAAAAATTCTTGAAACCACACACTCTCCCAAAACCCCAAAGGCCCTTTTCTATCCGTCACTTGCTTCCTCCATTTCCACTTTCATTTCAATCATTATAAACACAGCAAATGACCATTCGAATTAATTAACAAATGCTTTTAATTCTCTGGTCTTTTCTTTATCTTTGCTTCTCTTTTCCCTAGTAAAAAAGAGAAAAAGTTTGCCACTGTTTCCTTTCACTGCTACTTATTCTCTTTCTTTCTCTCTCACTCTCTCTGTAATAAGCTACAGAAAACGATTCTTTACGGACCACATCTCTAAACTCTCTTGCTTTGTTTCTTTCTTCTGTGCATCAACATCATCATCATCATCGTATTCCTGGTTTGTTTGTCTTAAAAGCAATCATGGAGGAACTGTACGGTTTCCATTCCTCGGCTACCACAGCTGTTTACTCCATGGATACTCAACCGGCCGCCGACAACATGTTAAGTCCTCCTGGAAACTGCCCGGCTGGTTTTCCGTCTCATGCGGCTGCTGCTGCTGCTTTTGCGGAGCACATGTTTGGGTCAGGCCAGCTGTTGTCTGGTTCGTCTGGGATATCGGATGCTGATTCAATGGGTGCTGAGATTCAAAGAGGTGGCTGTGAAGAAGAGGTTTCTAGTGCAATTAGGGCTAAGATTGCCTCTCACCCTCTTTACCCTAAACTTCTCCAAGCCTATATTGATTGCCAGAAGGTATAAATATATATGTTTGGATGTTGAGAAACTGGTGATGGAAAACACAAGAAAAAGAGTGAAAAAGTAGTGAACTCCTCATGTATCTCAGTAGAAGCTGGAAAGACTTGAATTTCAGAGGGGTGGGGAGTGGGTGAGGAAAAGATGGTGCTCGTTTGTGCACATTTATAGTAAACTTTTGGCGTTAGATTCTGCTGCGTTTTTATAAGGTTTCAGTGTACTTGAAAGAGTCTTGCGCTTTAGCATTTGCATGTGCTCTTCTGGTAGAATTCTTCTTTGTTGCTGCTAAAATTTATCCTTTTCATGCCAGTTTTCAGCTCTGAAACTCAACTTTCCCGCCGTCTTTACTATTTTTGTTCCTTTTAAATCCGTTTTATAGTTTGAATCTTGCACAGTAACTCAGTTTGCAAAGAGAAAAAGCTTATCCCACCCCCACCTTCCTTCCAATTAAAAAAAAAAAGAAATGGAAGGAAAAAGATACGCTTTGACAGACAAGTTTCTGAAACTTGGGTTCTTTTTTGTTTCAGGTGGGAGCACCGCCGGAGATAGCGAAAATGTTAGATGAAATCAGTGGAGAAAGCGACGTTTGCAAGAGAACCGCCTTGGTTCCTACTTGCTTGGGTGCCGATCCCGAGCTTGATCACTTCATGGTTTCTCTTTATTCCCCCTCATTTCTTTTACTCAAAGCCACACTCAAACCCTTATCACAACCTTCCATCAACCCTAAACCCTAATAAAAAAATCATTCCAACATGCTTGTAAATCTCCTCAATGGGTAGCTTCCCTTTGTTTTAAACCACAAAAATTTGGGTTTTGTTCTTTCTTTGAAAAGATTTAGACTTTGTGTTCACAGTTCTTGAAGCTGCTGCTAAGATTCAATCCATTTCCTCATTTGACTTTCATTTATTTTTTGTTGGGAAGGAAACTTACTGCGAGTTGTTGCTCAAGTACAAATCAGATCTGTCAAAGCCATTTGATGATGCTACCACGTTTCTCAACAATATTAAAACGCAGCTTTCTCATCTCTGCAATGGTAAAATTTACTGCTACTTCCACAACCGGTTACCTTTTCTGTTCTCTTTCTCTAGCATGCTCGGTTTTCTTATTTTATCCTTTTCTCTTTGCGGTATGTTTCTGTTTTCGAATTTTCTATTCCAGTTTGTTGGTTTTTGTGCTGTTCATTATTTTTATTTATTCATTTATTAGCATCGATCTTGCTGAGTTAATTCTATGTGATCGCATGGAGGACAATAGGCGCAGGTTAGCAAAAACCTAGCGCATTTTAGCAGCTTAATTAAACTCATAACAGCTTTCTTAGCTAAGGGTTTTTTTTTTTTTTCTTCTTTTGGGTGAATAAATATTTCTAAATATTTTCCATGTTCTTTTCATAACCAGTAAGACACCCAATTTTCTCATGTGTGTGTGGCATCAAATGCATAAGAAGGTCTTCCTTTTCTTTTTAAACTAGTCTCGAATTAATTTAATTAGTCCTTGTTCTTGCAAAACTATTCTTCTATTAACATTCAATCGTATAGTTCAAATCACTTCTCGCCAATTTCAATTTTTAAGTGATATTGGATAATAATGAAGCTGCCCTTGTTGCAGTTGAGAAACCAATTTTATTTTTTTAGTAATCCAGTTTGTGAATTGGAGGCTTTTGTTGACTAGGGTGTAGTTATTGTAATTATAGGTTGTGTATTGAATCCTTGGTATGTTAGTGTTTGTAAATGCTGTGATATTTGTTTTTCCCAATTGTCTGAATCAAAAACCATTCTCGGTATGGTATATATAAACATATAAACATGGTATTCGTTGTGAGTGAATACAGAAACAAGATTAACCATCCTATTGTTGTTCATTTTTGGAGCATTGTTATGTGTATGGAAACAGATTTTTCATTTCATGTTATTGCGCCTTCATTTGGTTTTGAAAAGTGCATTTACAAACACCTAGCCTCATGAAGCCAGTTCTAAGTCTATCCTTATTTTATGAGAACAAAATAGTGTTTAAGCTGAGGCAGTCTTTGGCTCTCAAGATGGAATGTATCTTAGTTACTAAAGTGGGAAAAGGACTAGGATAAACATGCTTTTCCATAGATGAGGGAAGAGGAAATTACGAAACGGTGTCCTTGGGAGTTTGGAATGCAACACATAAATAATTATCCTAAAGATAAGTATGTCTAATGGACATTAATATAACCGAGTTCTTGGCCATAGCAATAGAATAACCCAAATTTTTTGCTTCTCACTTAGCTGCAATGGTTACTAAAATGGTCCATCATGAAATAAAGTTAACTGATAATCTGCATGTTTTTTATGGAATAGTTAGTCATTGCTTTTGCTATGTGGGCACATGCATTTGGTCTATCACTTAATTCATGTTTAAAGAACCTGTTGTTATGAATGCATCTCTTTACCTATTTGTGATGGCATTGCCCCATAATTATGTCTGATGTTTGTTTATTAGTGTCCTAGTAGTGCATGAGCTGCAGTACTTTCTCTGGGCCGGCTAAATGTTTCTTTGCACATAAAAGAAACTGATTGGGAATAGTTTCAAGCAGCTTCATGTGTATAAAATACAACCTGGTCTGAAAGAGACTTCCTTTTCCAGGATCGCCCTCATCATCTGTAGGGACTAATAGAATATTGTAATGAACACAAGATATCAACAGACTCAAGTACCCTGTGTTAGGTTTCCAAAGTATTACATTTGCTGTGGGGTATTGATCTAATCTTCAATTCCTTCCTTTTACTTCTACTCATTGCTGCTGATTTCCTATATTTAAAGTTAGTTTTTGTTATTAAATAAGAGTCGATTCGATAGGCTTTTGCACTTGGTACAGATAGACTTTGTCTCCAAAATTTTATTTTAGTAATACTTTTGTGTGGTCAAGGCGACAATGGCACCCATATTGTATTGTCTCAAGCTATTTTTAGCATCACTTAAAGAGAAAGCTGCTTTATTGCATGCTACTTTTTAGTTGTGCGGCTTGGAGGTTATGGATTTGGTTTGAGTACGAGGATTTTGAATGTGGAGAACCAGCAATAAATATATGTTAGGAGCTGGCATGCGCGAACCTAAAGTTCAAGTCTTGAAAGAGGACATTTTGGTGGATGCATATGACTGGTTGGATCTTGAAGATCATTGGCAGGCTTTATGCCCTTCAGTTAATTGCATGATTAAGAGGTTCTTCTACTTTTATTTTGCAACATTAGGGTACTTTAGTCATATCTTCACTGCATACTTGTCTACCAGATAGACACCACACTGTAGCAGCACATGTTACTATTTTAATACATGGAATAACACGAAAAACGATAGTTTGCCAGTGTAGAAATTTGTAGTTTATTACCTTAGTGTGTCTGCAAAAATTTTCTGTTATGAACATCCGCTGCTTTTGATCAAGGTGATGAAATATCAGTCGTTTATATGCGTAGTCCCAATACAAAGTCATAAAGCATCTAAAGATTTAACTGTTTCCAAATCCGTAGTTGTCTTATATTATTTTCGAACTCTCAACATGCACCTGTTTTAGATGTTCATTTGTAGTTATTAATGCAAAAAAGCATTCTGACATTATTGTTTTGGCTTGTTTATGATCTCTGCGTTACATCTTTTTCCTTGGTTTTCATCTCGGGTGGCTAAGGGTATAGGCATTTGGTTAGGTTGCAATCTCATCATGAGAAGTATTTTGTTGATATTGCATCTACATAGAGTGGATAATCGCAAATAATTTGGGTCTTATAATTATGAGTTACCTACTTATTTGATGAAACCTGGTTGATGTCTCCTGAAGAGTGCTCAGTTCATAACAAATATTTGCACATTTTAGTTTTCTTTATTCCTTTAAAATTCTAAAATAGTTAGGAAATGCATTATTACTCACACACACTCACAACCATAGGTGTGTATGAGGAGTAAAAGGGGCTTTGATTTACAACACTAAGCTGGTTTCTTGTAATATTTCCATTTGCTGCATGTGAACTATATAACTTAAATATTCATTTTCAGCATAAATAAAGATACTTCTGTTTTCCATCCGATCACATAATTCCTTGTTATTAAAACTTTTAAGTCATGATTTATGTTTCTCATTTTATTCTTAGCAATTATCATTAATCTCCTTATTACAGTTTCATTTTCAAAAGTCAAAAGGCTGATTAATTTCATAGATAGTGTATATATATATATATATATGTATATATATTGTGGTAATATGATGTTATGCTGCAAATTTTTTTTCTTTTCTGATGTAGACATCCTATTATGGTTTACTTTGTAGTATTTATCAACAATTAGGGACATAATTAAGCTTTTAAACTAATTTCTTTCCTTTTTTAGTTTTTTTACATTATTATCTTATAAACTCAGAGTGAAGTTTTAAAACTCCGCAATTGAGTTTGTATTCTTGTCACGTGTCTATTTTACTTATATAAGAAAATAAGTTAATGTAACGACTTCAATGAAAATGTGACAGGCATATAAACATGCGTGCAGAGTTTTTAAAACTCTGCTATTAGTAGATAGGATACTTTTAGTATTAAATTTTTCCGCTTCATCTAAATAAATTTTGAGGGCCGTAAGATAATTGTCTGATTATGCAGCTAGGCTTTAGGGGGAAGGGGAAATGTCTATAATTAAGTTTGTCCAGGTTCGCTTGATGCTCACCATACTAGTACTTGGTTGGCATGAGTGCTAACACCAATGGCATTATCAATTTTACAATACTAGTGCCTACTACTAAAGCTTTTATCTGTTTTATCAGATTATGATTAGGGTTGTGTAAATTTATGAATGTGCTTCTATTTTCACAGAATATTTCATCTTTGTGGTCATGACATAACCAAAGCATGTGAAAGAGCTTTGGGGTTCCTTTATATATATTTATATATGAAGTTGCTTTGTGTTCGTTGTTTTAATGCTTGAATTTTCAAATAGAATCAAATTTTATGCCACGTAAATAAATCATGGATGTAGAATATATTTCATCCATTTGCATATCAGACCTGAAAATGAGTTAAGCTCCATGTTGAACTTGGAGCATAACTTTGCATGCAGTGAGGTTCTCTCTCTCTCCCCAACTCATCAAAGTCCTGGGTTGAAGTTTTACCTGTTAAGTCACTGGTTTTTTCTTCCATCTGTATATTTTTTGTTTATAGCATGCGTATATTTTAGATTTTGTTGGCCTTGCATTTATGTTTTTGGTGGTGGAAGTGGTCATAAATGGCCTGAACACTGAAGACAGCTCCGCGCCCCTACCTCTCCCCTCCCCCGTAGTAATCGCTGCAGGCAGCTTTTGGGCATTGAATATGACTGCTAGAACCTGCCTCGTCTCTTCGTCCAGCCGATTCCCAAGGCTGAGGATTCTGATCACACGTGCCATGTAAAAACTCCATGGGAAAACGACGACATGGTAGCTAACCATTAACCTAAAGAAAGAAACCTTTACCCTTTTCCAAGGTTGAGGGAAATTGCTGAGTTTGCATAAAAAAACACTGTACTTTGAATCAACCCAACTTTTAAACTTTTTATTTGTTTATTTATTTATTTTTTTTTCATTTTGAGTTTCTTACTGAACTGAGTGTTTGACAGGAGCAGGAGCTTTGAAATGCCAAAAGCAGTGCGTGCCTTGCGGGTTACTACTGCACAGGCACGCAGAGGCAGGCGTAGCTTTTTTCCTCTTTTCTCTTTCCCTTTCTTTTTTTACTGTCGCAAACAGCTCTGCAAATAAACTCCACCCTGGACTCTGACTTGGATACGACATAACGAACCCCTCCACCATCTTTTTCCCTTCTCTCTCTCACCCTTTGTCTGCAGTTTTACCTAGGAAATGAATGTGGGGTCCCTTAACCTGTGTTACATCACATCCTGGGAGAACCATGGACGGTTGCCCGCCATGTGGTTTCTGTCTTCTGGCCCTTTACCCCGTTTGGGTTTTTGTCTTTTCCTTTCCCCGCAGGAAGAGAAATTGAAAAAAGACGGGCAATGGACCTAATTCTTTTGGTTTGGTTGGTTGGTTTTAATGGACTTACCCCCAGAAACCTCAAGCTGGGCCTTTTGCCTGTCTAGTCTGCTTTGTGAAACTTCATGTCCGTATGTTTTAGGCAATGTCCTTATTTGATATCTGGGCTTATCTCAGGTTTTGCTTTTGTTGGGACGATTGGAAAACACGGTTTGTGTCTGAGTTTTGTTTCCTAATCAAATCTAGGCAGCGTAGTGTTTTGTTTTGTTGGCTACAATTACCTTTGTATCTTGGAATGTGTTGGTTGCATGTATAAACTACAGTCTATTGAAAATCTTGTAGTTTTACCTTGCTGCTGTTTGATCGTCCTGGTCTTACCAGATGAAGCTGCTGGATCATCCGAAGATGACTTCAGTGGAGGGGAGATGGAAGCAGTGGAGGATTACCAGATTAACGAAGACCGTGAATTGAAAGAGAAACTGTTACGGAAGTATAGTGGTTATATTAGTACACTTAAGCATGAATTTTCGAAAAAGAAGAAGAAAGGAAAACTACCAAAAGAAGCAAGGCAAATTTTGCTTGACTGGTGGAATGTTCACTACAAATGGCCATATCCCACGGTAAATTACGTAGAGTGCCTGTAAATCAGTAAAAATTTTACTTCATTCTGCTTAAGAAGAAATCATATCATTCTGTTGCAACTTATTTTTGTCAATATATGTATTTATGCAGGAGGCAGACAAGGTTGGCCTTGCTGAGGCAACAGGACTAGACCAGAAACAGATAAACAACTGGTTTATAAATCAAAGGAAACGCCACTGGAAACCATCAGAGAACATGCAAATTGCTGTGATGGATAGTTTATATGGACCATTTTTTAATGAATGACTTAAGGTGGGGTTGCCTCTTGTCTTGCTTTGTACATTCTTGAACCTCAAACCTTGCTGATGTCGAATGAAATGCTTATCTTCATTGTCTAAACGCTTGATATTTGGTTTCTGCTGTGCATTACTTTGCTTGTGTGCATTTCGAAGTCTAACTTTCAACAAAAGAATTTGTGTTGCTGGATATTTGTCGTACAAGATAGTCCGATTGCAGTGACGAAAATGATCTATGAAGCAGGCGCTTCAGGGGTAAAGAAGAGCTGGAAATGACAACGAACTGAAGTAACAAGTCCTGAATCATTCTTTAAACTAGTTTCTATGAGCTTGAGCGTGAATGTGTTCAGGTTCATAGCCAGTTTTGATATCAGTTTTCCTCTAAAAATTCTCATGATACTCCCTAGGATGGTCTGATATTTGATGCAGGCAATATCCTGAATTTTTGAGTTTTACATTTACATGTAATTGCGTATTGAGGTAGCAACTGCCAATGATTTCAAACGGCTACTCATTACTTAGTACCCCTTACCATTGCTTAAGCTAGTGGAAGCCATGGAAGTCAACTCTACAGAACTCTTTGGTATAAATGCAGAAAAAAAAAATCATTCTACCAATGATCTTAGAATGCATGCATTCTCCAAAGAAATTTAACCACAAATATAAGGTCATAAATGGCAACAATGCACCTTGGCAGGATTTGTTGGTAAGTCAAATTAAATTCCTAGAAACTCGAGACTTAGAAGAAGATTTGTCTGCAATTTTGCTTTGTTATAGTCAAATAGTGCAGTTCCTCTTATTGGGGTCAGAATTTATTTCCCTGCATATGTGAGCTATGCATAAACCCAACCTATTACAAACCCAAAACTTTGCACAATATTAGAGAAGATTTGGGCCGTTCTCTTTCTTTCTTTTTTGCTTATCTGTAGAGCAATTTCCTGTGTTTAATCAGCATGCTGGCAAGTAATAATACCCTCTGTCAACAAGCAGTACAACAGCTTGATTTCAAGCATGAGATAGGGTGTAGTAGTATGAGGAGATAAGGAAGGAACCAATCATTTTGCTGAGAAGTTTGCTAAAACATTCTTTAATCTTTGCTTTTTTAATCAGTGTATAGCAAATTTATCAGATAGTTTGTTTCTTGCACTTTAATTATGTCCACATGGATACAAATCAGTCACACATCAAAGCTTCCTGTTCAAGGAACATGTCATTATACCATAGTTTGCAAAATCTTTGTATCATTACAAGGGAATCCACAATTCACCATTTTTAAGTTATTTTTTGGGATTTTTCCTTTTTTTTTAAAAAATATAAAATAAAATGGAGGAAAGATATCTCTTGCCATAATAAATATCTAGCAATAGGACTATTAGAGATAGAATGAGAAAGAGGATAATAACTCAAAATTGATAAGGACGAATCTCATGTCCCGAGTCCTTGTTATTATTTAGTAAGAGTTTTTACTTATGATTAAATTTTAAATTAAATACTCAATTTTAAAAATTTAACATGATATCCTAACAAATTTGATCAAAATAATATATTTATCTACAATTTATGTCACGTTTTAAATTCATATTTCATATCTATCTCAAATTAAAGAAGTATCAAGAAAGACCATGGAAAAAGGAAAATAAAAGAAAAAGAGTAAAAAAGAGGAGGAAAAAAAAAAATCTATTGCAGGTCTTGGAAGTAGTCCCACTTTGGCGGCTGATTGGGAACCAAACGCAGTTATGAAATGTAGGCCTCCCTAACTCTGTCTGGTATCAAGGAGGATCACAGCCAAATGCATTGAAGCAATTGTCTAAAAATGGCCTAAAGAAAGCGAAGAGAAACGAAATTCAGTTCATTTATCCCCTCTTTTTTTTTATTTGTTTTGCTATCTTCCCCTTTCTCTGCAAAAAGAAAAACGAAACTTTGCATTATGCATGGAAAAGAACAAAACATAAAACGTTTTACACAGAACGACTCCATACTTCCCTAGGAGTTAATTGTCCTCTCTCCTTCTCCAATCCTTTCGAGAATAACAAGGAACAGAGAGGGTTAGGAGAGAAGAGAAGAAATCTTCTGCAGAAAATGTGAATGCTGTTTTGTTTTTTCTTTCGAATTGTAAAACAGAGCACGGAAAGAAACAGAGGGTAACAGGGGAAAGCAACAGGCGGGTTGGAATTCGATGCGATTCTCAATCCCATATCCCGGGAATATAATATGGATGTTCTGGGTATTTTCTTCATGTTTTTTCCCTTCCCTCTCTGATCCTCAAGCCTTGGAAGCCCGCCTTATGTGTGGAACTACCAACGAAACCTCTCGGAGCTTCGTTGGGAATGTTAACAGAGTCATGGGAGCTTTGTCCGAATCCGCTGCTGCTAAAGGCTGGGGGACCTGCTCGGTGAACGATCCTCCATTTAACGTCTTTGGGTTAGGCCAATGCTACAAAGATGTCAAAGGAAACGATTGCAGACTCTGTCTCGACACAGCCAGAGAAGAACTCGAAAGGTGCATCCCTGCCACATCGGGCCGTATCTACCTTGACAGTTGCTTTCAACGTTTCGATAATTACAGCTTCTACAATGAAGGAGTTGATGCCAAATATGATCACGCAACGTGTGGCTCGCCTACGAATGCTTCCATTGACAGCTACATATATCAGGATTTTCAAAATAAGTTGGATCAAGTGATCATGAACGTGACGAAGATGGCGTTGAAGAAAACTGGATATGGGGCAACGGAGGTGAAAGGAGGCCTGGTGACCGTTTATGCATTGGCGCAGTGTTGGAAGACAATTGATGCAGGATCTTGTGGGAAGTGTTTGAGGAATGCAGGGTTGGGGTTGAGGAAGTGTGCCCCGGGTGCTGAAGGCAGGGCTATGTTTTCAGGGTGTTATATGAGGTATTCAACCAATAGATTTTTTGATCAAGCAGAAACAGACGACAATCAGGGTAAAAACATTAAAAAAGTTGCTTTGAATTCTCAAAAATTTTCTTCTTTATCTATGGTTTTTGTCATGTTTCAGGGTATTCTTGTATTATCTTTGTAGGGTTTGGTAGATGGCTCATCATAGGAATGGCTTTAGCAGCAACTGCATTCACTGTGCTTGCTACCATTGGTGCTTCTATAAGCTATAAGAGATTATCCAAGAAGAAAGAAGGTATATCTATAGATTATAAGTTTAAGAACCTCTCAATTTTTATTGAATTATGTGTTCAACTATTTTCTGCGGACTTCTCTTGTGGCTAGATGGTCTAGATGACATTCTGGTTACCGGAAACCAGACTAGTTTAAGCTTCAAGTATGAAGTGCTCGAAAAGGCAACAAACAGTTTTGATGAATCAAGGAAGTTAGGTCAAGGAGGAGCAGGTTCTGTGTTCAAGGGGATTCTCCCTAATGGTAAAACTGTTGCAGTTAAAAGATTGTTCTTTAATACCCGGCAGTGGGTGGATCAGTTCTTCAATGAAGTAAATTTGATCAGTGGAGTTCAACACAAGAACCTTGTAAGGCTTTTAGGTTGCAGCATTGAAGGTCCGGAGAGTCTTCTAGTTTATGAATATGTTCCTAATAGGAGCCTAGATCAAATCCTTTTTGGTAAGATGTTTTCTGACTTAATCTAATTATCATATTAATGGCAATTCATAGAGTTGTTACGTTCCAAGTTCTGATCATTTCTGCATTTCCCATTGTGATTAGGCCTTTTGGTTTTCCCTTCCTCAAAAATTTAACTTGGTATTCATTTCATTTATCGAGTCATCGAAGAGCATATAGAATAAGAAGACTTCTCACTGTAACTCTTTTGTTCTGAAGTTTCTCCAAGACTGTAATAAAACCTTTGCCTGATGCAGTTAAGAACACAATACATATTCTAAGCTGGCCGCAGCGGTTTAACATCATATGTGGAACAGCAGAAGGGCTAGCGTATCTCCATGGCGGTTCTGGAGCAAAAATCATTCACAGGGACATAAAAACCAGCAATATTCTCCTTGATGAGAACCTCACCCCAAAGATTGCTGATTTTGGACTTGCTCGTTGTGTTGCTTCAGATAAATCTCATGTTAGTACTGCAATCGCAGGGACACTGTAAGAACTTTGATCTTTCATTAGCAAGTGTTCACTTTTAGCACAAATTTGACATTCTTGTTGTCAACATTCAATCCAAATAGCATATACATAGTTCGGTTCAATGTTGTTTTCGACATCCTGAAGGAGGGTAGTAACTTCTTTAGTAACAAAACCTCGCAATTTTTGTAGACCAATGGTGTGCTAGGACAGATCAAATGCCTACCCTTCTTGAGATTCAATCCTCATTTTGTTCACGATATCTTCCCTTCTTCCTCATTCATATCTGCTTTCTACTATGAATCATTTCTACCTACTTCTGATCAATAAATTGATGTTGCAGAGGATACATGGCTCCTGAATATCTTGTCCGGGGACAACTAACAGAGAAGGCAGATGTTTATGCTTTTGGGGTGGTAGTTCTTGAGATTGCAACTGGTAGGAAAAACAGTGTTTTCTCACAGGGTTCAAGTTCGATTTTGTACTCGGTGAGATTCATAATCCTTTTCCATTGACTGCAAATTGGGTGCTATACTTTATAGGTGGAGAGGTCTTTGTTACATTCATATGTTAAGAAGATTCTTTAATTGAACTGACAGGGGATTTCCTTTATCATCAGTTCCATATGTTTTTCAGACAAATCTGATAACTCATCCTTGTTCTATCAGGTCTGGAAGAATTACAAGGCAGACACCGTTACACAAGCTATTGACAGTGGCTTAAGAGGTAGGTTTGACGAGAGAGAGGCATCGAGTGTGCTTCTTGTTGGGCTCCTGTGCACCCAAGCTTCAGCTGCACTAAGACCATCCATGGCAGACGTAGTTCAGATGCTAACAGATAAAAGTTGTGAAATTCCCTGTCCCAAACAACCTCCCTTCTTGAATGCTAGTGTGTTAAGCCCAGAAGACACCATATCTGGTTCTTTCATGGGGCCTTTAGCTTTAGATGAGCAGAAAACAGGTCCAGAGTCATCCAGTCACAAGCCTGGCATCATGGCTAGTCCTGAATCAAGATAGCCTTGACTCACTCATTTTCTCTTCAGGTTGGGGAAACCAAACAATTGTAAATCTGAGAGAAAGACTGGCCAAAACTATTTGGAGAATTTTGTTCCAATTGTGGAAAGAAAACTTTGATTTTGACACATAGAAACAATGACTTTGTACATATCATCAGTATTCACTTTGTTCCTTTTTTCTTCTTCTTTACATTCTAATTTATACACTGATTTCAATCACTTAATTAAAAATTTATTGTATAATGCATGAGAGAATCGATGAACTATTTAAAAAAAATATTAATTAAGTTTTTATTCTTCTATTACATTCAATCAAGTTTCAACATTTTTATTTTAAACTAAATAAGCTCTTATAACTAAATCAAAATGTCATTTGTTATTCTATATGATAACATGAAGGGTAAAAATATAATATGATCATATTATGTTATTATGCTATATTATTATTCATATAACACATTAACATCGTGTAATGTAAAATGAGAAGAACTCGATTCAATATAATAAAAACAGAAATTTTATTTAAATTATTTTAAATAATTTAATAATTATTATAAATATTATGTAAAAATTTATAAACGTAATTATAAATAATTCAATAATATTTAAATATTTAACTCATTAATTAATATATAAGTACGTTCAATCTCTTTTATCAAATATATAAAAAAAATTATGAATAATTTAATAATTATGTAAGTGCATCCATAATTTTTACTAAGAAATACGTGACGTTATGATTATGAAAAGACAAATCTGGTAAAAGTAACGGGTTTTGTTGCCATGAAAAGGACGCATTACCAATTCCTTTGGACAACACAACCTTTGTGTCGAGGGATACTGTTAATTTGTTCGGATCAATTTTGGCACCTCTAGCAATAGATGGCTAACCTTTTGTTGTTGTAGTTGGGATTTTACTTTTCGAATAAAGATATAGTATTTAAAAAAAAATTAAATTATTATAATATATTTAAATAAATTTTTATTTTTATTATATTTAATTAACTTTTTATATTTTTATTTTAAATTAAAAAATTAGTATAATTAATGATTGATTTTTAACATGTTATTTATCATTTTATGTCATTTGACGTCGATGCAGTTTGTTGAAATATTATAATAAATGATGATATAATATATTAATATGATATAATGATATAATTATTTAATATTTTTTACTCTTTACGTTATCGTTATGTCAATTTTAAATAATATAAAATGATCATAGATATTTTAATTTATAATAATAAAAACTTATTTAACTTAAAATAAAAATATAAAAATTTAATTGAATACAATAAATGAATACTAACTTATTTAAATTTTTTTTAATAATTTAAAAAAATTTTAAATTTTATATTAATAAAAAATATATACTAATTAATAAGCTAAATGCAGATATAACAATAAATTGGACTTTTGATTACCTTTTTTTAAATAATACTATTAAAAGTTCCTTTTTTATATAATGTGGAATATAACAAATTATATTATTCTAGGTCAAGATATTCTCAAATTATCGACTAAAAGATAAATCAAAATTCTTGATGGTGGAGAACCCATAATATGTAACTCCGAAAAAGTGATATTCATGATGGTTGGTCACGATGTATTAATTGGGCTTACGATGATTGTAGGTTAGAGAACAATTCTAATTTGGATTAATCAATTTTTTGATATCTTACAATAAATAAGTATTTGGATATATAAGTTTGTTATTTTTTAAATAATATTTTTATAAATTTAACTGTATCATATAAATTTTTATTTATTATTATTAAAATATAAATAAAAATTTAAATGTTAGCATTGTTTTAAATTTTTGTAATTAAAATTTTAAATTTTGATTTCATCTTTCCATGAAACTGAATAGCTATCCTTTTAATGCCAAGGAATTTCACGTGATCATGCCTTGGATATTGCCCTCCCTAGTCTTCAATCAAAATGACGTGATGGCTCCTATCGATTTTAAGGGGATGAATTATTGAAAAAGACACCATCTGCTACTATATATATATAAATATATATATATATATTATTCAAATAACTTTCTTTTTTTCAGTTGAAAAAATTAATATAAATTCAAATATAAGATTTTCTTTGGTCTGATATAAGAGACGAACATTAATTGATTTTAATCAAATAAATTAATTGAAATAAATTGAATTTGATCAATTGGGTTCGGTTTTAATTTGTTACTTAATTTGGTTTATTTTATTATTTTGATTACTTTTTATATCTAAAATTTTCACTTGAAAGGATCAAAAAAAAAAATTATTAAAAATATATTTTCTATGTAAAATAAACATAATAAGAATTTAATATAATATAAATATTAATAAATATCATCAATATTTTTTAATTAACATTTTATATATTATATAAATACCAAAAAGTAGTAAAACCGATAAACTGGTTGAATATAAATCGATTTTATTATACAATTTGATCGATTCAAATTTTTTTCTATAAAAATTGAAATTTGAATGATTTTTACACATGTGGAGTTCATATATAATTAAAAGAAATTCTTTAAGCCCGTGTTAAGGCCCAATGGGCTTGTACGGGAACCCACGCGACACATTATGGAGCAAAGAAGGGGAAAGAAAATTAAAAGGAAAAAAAAAAGGAAATTAATGAAAACGGCGCATATTTTATCCACTAGCACACAAGGGGAAAACGAAACTTAGGCCTGAACGAGAGAATCAAAGTCTTTCTCGCTCTGTCCGAACGAAATAGCAAGCTGTTGTAATTCTCGCATTCAGCTAGTGAAAATCTCCAACTTTCTCCGAAGGAGATGGACAGAAACGACTCAGTATAAGGACTGAGGAAGGGAAGCAAGCATGAATTTGATGAGCACGAGCCAGCCTTCCACTCGCGCTTCTCCTCCGGCTCCCCTGGAGTGGAAGTTCTCTCAAGTCTTCGGCGAAAGAAGCGCCGGCGAAGATGTTCAAGACGGTTATCCCTCTCTCTCTCTATATCTCTTTGCTGAATGTTTGCATGCATGGATAGACTTGTCTTTGCACTGTTTGGCTGCACCTGACGGAGTTGTGATCAGTATTTATCAATAGGTTTGAGAAAAAAAGAAGAAGAAGAATGTTTGTTTTTCGAATTTAGGAAATTGAAATTTTACTTCCTTGAGACGAAGTGAAGAGCAGAGAATGACTTGAAGATGTTTGTTTTCAGTTGATAGAATATCGGCGGTTGAATTTGAGAAGAGCGGTGATTACCTTGCTGTTGGAGATCGAGGCGGCCGGGTTGTAATATTCGAGAGAAAGGACGGGAAACCTGTGAGAATTTTCTCATTTTATTCATCTTTATCTTCAATACGTTAACCTAAGTTTAAGCTTGGTTTAATTGTTAGAAATCGATTATTTTCTTTGACTTTTTTGGATATTAATACAAAAACTTTGATATTGACTATTTTATATTAAAATTTGAAAATATTTTTTAATACTATTTTATATTAAATTTTAAAATTTTTTTAATATAAAAATAGAAAAGTTATACTAAAATAAATTTATAATATAAAAAAAGTAAGAGTATTAGGCATTTCAGAGAAAAAAAAAAGAACTTCATTTTAGGAAATTAAAAATGAAAAAAAACGAAGAAAAAGGATGGAGGGAGTAGTACTTCTCTTAATTGCTTTTCCCTTCTTAGAGAAAAAGGCAAAAGGCGCCTGAAAAAAAAAAAAACTTGAATAAATAAATTTGTTTTACTAATAATATGCATAATTTTACTTTTACATTGAATAATTATGTTTCAATGTGTGTTATGTCTCAACCATTTGCTTATTTTTAAATAAATAGTGTGATTTTGCTTTTTACTAAGTATTTGCTTTTACTTTTTATGGACTTTTAGGGCAAAAAAACTAAATGCCAGGAAGCAAGTAGTAAAAGTAATAGTAATTAAATGAAACCTTATTTATTTTGTTAATATTTTTATTTTCATTTTTTGGTATTCATTTTGGTCTATCTTGTTTTAGGCTGGCAGCTGTATTGGTTGTTTTATGATCTTTTTTACAATTGCTTATTGGCTTCTTAGACACCGGACGAGCACTATTCCAGAAGTCAGCTGGAGCAGTTGGATTTTGTCTCTTTAAACCATCCTGAATATCAATATAAGACTGAATTTCAGAGTCATGAGCCTGAGGTGTGCTCACACCGTGAAAAACTGTTGTTATGATATGTTATATACTCGCGTTGCAGTTCCTGATGGCATTGTTATTCCCTATAGTTTGATTACTTGAAGAGCTTGGAGATTGAAGAGAAGATAAACAAAGTAAAATGGTGTACAACACCCAATGGATCACTCTTTATCCTTTCAACGAATGATAAGACAATTAAACTGTGGAAGGTGTGGATTCTTATGGCTTATAACTTTGATAATTTACACTTTCAATTTTTTTTCCTAATATACATTACAATGCAACATTTAAAAGATCTAAGTCTTTCTGTAAGAACAAGGCTTCATCATTCATTTAACCCTTAGTATTTTAATTGGCATTGTGTCTTATTTGGGGAGAAATATGATGCTTTGCTTTTGCCATTCTTTACTTTCAGTCAACACCTATCACTAAGATTAAGCCCAAGAAGCTGGCATCTTTGTAGATAGATTAACCCATTGTTCTGTACTTGTTATGGTTTGTGGATGAAAACTTCTTGTGGTTTATGGAGCCAGGTAAAGGATCGAAAGGTGAACAAGGCAAAGGAAGTGGATCCTCATCAATTAGTCTCTTCAGAAAATTCTCTTCTGGCTGAAAGGAGTTTTGTGAGTGAACAGGACATACCATCTTTTACTAATGGAAAGAATCTAGGGTGGGAAGAGAATGTGGCTAACAACACATTACTGTCTCAAGAATTGCATGCTAAGGTATGTACGAGTGGACTATTTCAGAGCTCTTATAGAGCTATTGTTTTAGTTTGTTTGGTAGGCGAGGTTATTTACTAGCTTGTTATGTTCCTAGATTGGTAACAATGAAGACGCCACATATGCAAGATGTAGAAGGGTCTATGCTCATGCTCATGATTTTACTATCAACTCAATTTCAAATAATAGGTAAAGCCTCCATCTGGTAACTTTATCCTGTACATTTAATCTCTTCTATATCTCAAATTCTTTTTGCAGTCCAAAAGTGTGTGTCAGAACTCAGAAAGCACTGTGTTTTTGGTTTGACATATAGCAAGGCAATCAATAAAGTGTAGAATTAAAAATTTAAACTTTTTGCTGTATATAAGATGATAATTTTGTTTCCTAATCCTTTTGCAGTGATGGTGAGACATTTATATCTGCAGATGATCTGAGGATAAACTTGTGGAATCTTGAAATTAGTAATCAGTCATTTAATATCATTGACATGAAGCCATTAAATATGGAGGATCTTACTGGTAATTTTTGTGCATCCTCTATGTATTTTTTTTATGACTTTGTCATATCTTGTGATCTGATTCTCTTCCATTAACTATTTCAAAATATGTTATTTTTTGTCTTTATTTTTTCATTTCAACTTAAGATTAGTTTTGCTGTGAATGAATTTTATATGGTGAGGGAGGTAACTGGGTAAGATAGGTGACTAACATACATTTCTTGTTCTTATGTTGGTTGAGTCATGGTAAAGGTTTCTGCCCTGGAATGGGAAGTTGCCATATGTGGTTCCAGTTGAATTGATGTCAAGTCTGGTCAAGTGTTTGCATCTTCTTTTGACAAGACCCTTTTATCAGGCTGTTTGCAGCCCATTTCTGATCAATCTCTTTATGTTTTATACAGAGGTCATCACGTCAGCTGAATTCCATCCAATTCATTGTAACCTGCTTGCATATAGCAGCTCAAGAGGTTTTATTCGCCTTGTTGACATGCGACAATCAGCATTATGTGATTACAGTGCTAGAATGTGAGTTATGGCCCCTCTTTCTTTCTTCTTCTTCGCTTGTTTTTTGCAGTTCTCAAGTTATTATGACCAGTGACTTCAGTTACTATTAAACATGGATTGGAGGTTTCTAATTCTTGTCATCTTTGGTTTCAATTACACAGATTGCAGGATGCAGAATGTCAAGGGTCAAGATCATTCTTTACTGAGATTGTTGCCTCCATATCTGATATAAAGTTTTCAGTTGATGGGCGGCACATCTTAAGCCGTGACTATATGAACCTTAAGGTACCTGACCAGAACTGAGTATGAGTCTTTAATGTGTGATGTGATTTTCCAAGTTCTTTCTTCCATATGTCAATACTCATCTATATAGATTGGGGTAATGAGGATGTTTGTCCAAATAAAGTTTTCTATGGCATTTTAATTTTCTCAGATTATTTAGATATTGTATTGTCTGGGCAATAAATTTAAAATCCCACGATTACTGAATGTTTGAAACATTTTTCTTTCAAATAAAATAAGGTAAGAGGCTATTTCCTGACTTCTCATCTCAATTTTGGGGCTTTTGCATTTGGAAAGGAGCAAGCACACCAGAAATGTTCTTTGCTTTCAAAAACCTTGTGTTTTCTGATCCTGTCTATTGTTTTTCGTGGTTTCTTGATTTAACCCTCTGCCTCTATTGTTCTAGACTCCTACGTTCTAGTCATAACGGTATGAACAGGTGTGTGAACATGGTCAAGGTGATTAATGAGTATATCATATTCTGAGTGCAAATGCATGTGATTATCTCTTCTATTAACTGATTTGTTTTTTGATACATTTTAGCTGTGGGATATAAACATGGATTCTTCACCAGTTGCAACATTTAAGATTCATGAACATCTACGCCCAAAGGTAAGTGCATATCCTTCCATTGCCTATTGATCTGTAAGATATCTCTAGTGGAAGTTCATGCATGATAAATCGGTGCCATATGTTATGTGTTAACTGTCTTGTACTCTTGTTAGAAGTTGTAATCTGATTTTAACAGAGTAACTGATATCTCTGCACAGTCTTTAATCTTTGTGCTGTCAGCTTTGTTACAAGCTGGAGTTAAAATGTATAAAGAAAATGGTAAAGCTAAGGGGAAAGTGCTATTTCTTTTAGCTATGATGAACCCTCTTTTTAGGAGGTTATTAAAGGCCTTGTCAGTTTTTTTTGTTCGTTGATAAATTCTCTTACTTGCTAACATTGATTTTCTGTTCATTGACAAATTGTCTTACTTGTTAGCATCAACGATGGTAGGGTTTAGTAAGTCGGCCTTAGCTCAGTGGCAAGAGCAGAGGACTTTTCCTCTAGGTCGCTGGTTCGATTCCGGCAGGTCGAGTGAATAATTTTTCAATAGTGAGTCCTAACGGCTGAATGGTCATATCTTCCCTTATTGGCACAAAATGTCAATTATCAGTACAAATTAAGGAGTATGAGTTATTTTTTATAACACCCATGCATATTATGGGTTGATCAATGATATTCTGGTTTATGTTATTGAGCTGGAATGGGTCATGTTGAAGTTTGCAGGAGTTGCGATGATAGATTTTCTTTCCAGCCAACACCTGAGTTTGAGCACCTTTGCTTGCTTTCTTGTTAATTTCCTGTTAATCTTAGTATTTTATTTTTTTTTGAGAAGGTATAGCAGAGGCATATGAATTAATTTCTTTGAAGTTGGATTTAACTTGGTAAACTTAAAAGTTGCTTCAGCCAAAGGCTCCAGGTTTATTTATGAACGTGGTGGACATTGAAGTTCCCTTATTTTGATTATGGTCTAGAGCTCTTCAAATTGCTACTCTCTTCTCTCCATTGTTTTGTGTTTACCTATTTCTAAGTCGTCCACTGTTTAGTGATATGTTGAATGCATAATAACTGCAACACCTTACAATGAATACACTTGCATACGAGAGATCATTGCTATTTCTGTTACTGTAGCTTTACCTATTCGATTTAATTCCATTGTATGTCACAAAGATACAAACTACGGTAATTGGCATTCGAAGCATCACCACCTACACATGCTTCCGACATTTTCATGTTGTTCAGTCCAACACCACCTTAGAGAGAACAGTGACCAACTAAAGCTTGCTTTGGATATTAGATAGTCCCATATAATGAAGCTAACTTTGGTAAACTTAACCTGCAACTGGATTGGTCATTTCTCTTAAAGGAGGTCCAGCAGTCCACCATAATTGAATCTATTGCTGCCTGAAGCCTTGAAATCTAGAGCTCAGACAAAAACTTTTCCTTCTTGAAATTTAAATATAGCAATTTATCCTTCAGCTTGGTTACTTCCTGATTTGTCACTGGTATCCTTATGACTTCTTTGACATACGTCCTCCAATTAAGCTGAATTGTTGCTAATATCCTAATTAGTTAATTTTGGTATGATAAATTTCAGAAAGTGCGTTCCATGTCAATGTCTCCCTATGGCTGATAGCTTGCAATTTGTCGTGCAGTTATGCGATTTGTATAATAATGACTCCATATTTGATAAATTTGAGTGCTGCCTCAGTGGAGATGGACTTCATTTTGCAACTGGATCTTATAGGTTTTCCTGCTACTTGATATTCCATGTTTTTAGTCATCTAACCTTCTCAGATGCTGTTGTCAAATGACTCTGGCTTTTGCTGACCTATCTCAGTTCTAATGACACAAATTGCTTATATTTTGACTCAGCAATCTCTTACGTATCTTCTCTCATGGTGTTGGAAGTGAAGAGGGGAGTACAGTAGAAGCTAGCAAAAATCCAAACAGGTTGGCTTTTTCTTTTCTTTCTTCTTCTTTGTGGGTGTGTGGGTGAAAGAGGAGTGGGGGGGTTTGTTGTTTAACGACTGAGATCTGATAGGAGTTGACCCCTCTCTTCTTTCTCATTCTTCAAATATCATATAACGTTGATTTCCAAGAAACTGATGCCTTCTGGTTTAAACATCAGAATCCAAATACCAGCTTTCATAGATATCCCTTTTAGATTTCTTTAGGTTTTTTTTGTTAAAGCTACATTGGTGTCTACATCATCAGGTCTGATCATAGAAAAGATTCTCTACAACTGACCATTAAGTCATAGAAATTAACTTTTTGGTAAAATGATGACATTTATGAGCTCGTGCCGGGCATGCTTACTACAAGAATTTGTTGGCTGCCTCATCCCGTTTTCTTTCTGACTAAACATTGTACTTTGTACTTCTTCTTTGTATATTAAAAGTAGGAAGCCCCTTCAGAGGGCAAGAAGATCATCCTTAAGTAGCCTTACGCGTGCGTTTCACAAGCAAGGTTGGTACTCCTTCTCTCCCCCTTTCTCTCTTCCTCGTCTGACATCATGTATAGATTTGAATACCTTGTATGAGCTATCAGTAGACTTGTTAACTTCTCAAATTCCAGTTAATGCTAATTTATTTGCTCTTGGCTTCCATTGAGCAGCCACTTATTAGTTGTTTTCCTAATTAAGCAGGGCATGAAAACACAAGCCTTGCTAATGAGTTTTCCTGGTCATCAAGTTCTAAGCTGCAACATGTCGCTTGGCACCCATGCGCGAACTTGATTACTTGTGCTTCTGGAAATAGCTTGTTTTTCTACTATGCGTAGCTTCCTGTACAGAAAAGCTTTGATTGACCATAGAACACCAAGTAGGTTGTACACGTTGACACGGTACGCCCTCTATGTTTAGCATCTTAAGGGGTTGAAGCATTAGCATCTTACTGGCTTACCACGATTGAAATGTAAAAAATGTACAAAAATCAAATTGAATAGTTGTTGCAAACAACCTTGTCTTTGTTCTATAGTTTCTGGTTTTCCCCACTGGCTTCAGTTTCACATAAGAAAAGTTGTTAGATATTTTTGGAACAGAGATTAAAAAAAAAAAAGAAAAAGAAAAAAGGGGTTCATTCATTGATCAAAGATTTTAAAATTTTTTGATGTGGTGACAAATTGTACCTCATCAACAAGGTATAAACTATGCATGGTAATGCATGTCACTTGCACTTCAATTTGTGGTACAAAGGAAATCAGTAGGAAAGAGTTGACATTATCTGGGGACAAAACTGTTGTTGCATCTTCAACTACAAAAGATGGTTTCTTTTGTTTCTTTCTTTTTTGATATGGGAAAAGAGAGATTTGAGTAGGTATTTGTATCATATGTCAATCGTTGACTTAAATGTTTGTGGGTATAAGCTAACCATTAAGTTAAATGTTCTTGTACATACATCAGTCATCGAATTAAATACTTTTATGCATGTCATGAATTTCGTATCAGTAAGAAATGAAATGTGTTTTAAGTTTATAAGTAAGAGTTTGTTTTTTCATCTAATAGGTATATATTTTGGGTTAAAAATATAAACTCGTGATAAGTGGTATTAGAATTTACTTAATTCTTCATTGATTTGAGATTTCTTATGAGATATTAGGACAAAAGTAAATCCGAACTAAGATGGATCTTTCTCTTCATGGGTAAAAGAGTCATTGTAACACAACACGAGTGTTGTTTTTTTTCACTTTAACCATTGAGTTAAATGTTTTTGTGTATACATCAATCGATGAGTTTTGATGTTTTTTCTCAAATATCAATCACAATTAAATGTTTGTAAGTACACATTAATGACTGAGTTAAATGCTTAGGTACATAATTGTCGAAACCTATCTACTTCAAATTTAGAGGTCGTAATTTTGCAAGTACATATGTTGTCTTTGGTTGGTAAGCTGAAACTCTTCGAGAGTGGTGGTGGATAATGCTTAGAATGGGTTAGGTATTTTTGGACAAAATAGAAACGAAGAGGCAGATTTGCTCATTTTCTGGCTTGCTGCATATTGGAAAAGACAATTCTCACCCAAGCTCTCACAATTTTTTACAATAGAGGCCGTATATTTGGAGATTCCAATGCAAGTACTGTTTAACTGTATTGTTGAGTATTAAATTGTTATTAGAAAAATAATGTATAAGTATTTTATAAAATTGAGTATAATATTACTAATAAGATAATATTACAGTGATTGATATATGTATAATTAATTTTTGGAAGTATAATTTTTGATGTTAATTTTTGGAATTACTTTTATGTATACGTAAAAAGAACACAAAGGAGTTGGTGAGGAGAAATTTGAACTTGTGTTACCAACCTTGAATGAGAAGGAAAGAGGGTTCAATTCAAAGTTGATATTGGCCATCTTTTAATATGGAAAAAAAATCAATGCAGAAAAGAGAAATAAATGTGTATAGAAAAAAATGGTTTTATAATTAAAAAATGATGTGTATAGAAAAATAAAAAAATAACGTACTTATATATATATATATAAGTTTTTATTAATTATTTAATAATTAAAAATAAGTAAATACTTATTTAAGTTCATAAATAAATATATAATAAAGAAAAAAAAATTTGCAGTCAGTATTTATTAATCTTATTACCATCACTATTTGAAATCACACCACTACCAACTTTAGTGAAGGAAGCCTTAAACTTGTGAATTTTACTTCTTGTTTTTAATTACTCATTTTTTTAAATAATAAAAGAAAATACAAGCAAGATTAAAATGATTTGAAAGAAAATATCTTCTTGTTGGAATTTCCAAAACTGGCTCCTGGGTCAATAGGTTATTTTACACATCTTTTCGAGATTCATATTCGATTTTATTTTTCATAGTTCGAAAAAATTATGGGTTCAATTCATCGATTTTTTTGAGTAAAATTATGGACCAATTCTTGTTATCTAAGAATTTTTTTTTCTCTTGTGAGTGATTATGCAGAGTAAGCTTTTACCTTTTCAATGGCATTCTAGTTCTAGTGCATGCATCTATTCAATGGAAATTTAATGTCATTTAATGAATTTAGTACTAATTGTCCTTTTGGCTTCTCCAAAAAGAAAAGAGTAACAATTTGAGGAGTGTTTGTAAGTATTATTTAAGGTAATATTTATAAGAAAATATTAAACATGTGCTTATAAGTATTTCTTAAAATAATATTTTTAAATATTCATTAATATGATGTTTGTGGAAAGATTTTTTTAACTAATATATTTTCTCTTTTTTAATCTTGCAAGAATGGTACATTAAATGAAAAGATATTTTCTTAAATAGAAATTATAAATTTATAACCTTAACAAGTGCGCATAGGCATTCGTTAATCAAACCATTTTTATATAAAATGTTTTACTTAATATATCATTTTTTTATGACAATAATCCATTAAAAGAAAAATATGTTATGATATAATATTTTAATTGATCGTAATTAATATCTATATATACTTGTTAATCAACCTTGATAATTTATTAAAAATTTTCAAAAACTTTTGATTTTTTTAGTTTAATTTATTATTTTTTTGGAAACTACTAAATAAAGTTTTTATTATAAAATATTATTATTTTGAGTGATTAAAATTTATATTAAATTGATTAATTAGATCAATTTCGATTTTGATTCTTTTTAATGAAATTAATTCATTTAGATTTTGATTAACAATCTTAAACCTCAAAATACAATTAAAAATAAGATATAAAATTTAGATATTATGTTGAGTTTTTTAATATAAATGTTATACTAAATATTTCTTAAATTAAATATTATATTAATAGACATTAAATTTGAAAGATAAATATTCAAATAAGTTCCTGAACTATACAAGAAAAGCCAATTAAACCCTTAAACTTTATTATCTTCAAAATAAGTTTTTATATTTTTATTTTAGATCAAATAAGTTATTCTCATTAATTGTTGACTAACTTCTATTAGTCAAAATAACAACTATCAATTTAATGCTATGTCATTTACCATGTGACATGTTTTTATGTCATTTTTTAGGTTGACATTACCATGTGATAGATGACGTGACTAAAAAATTTAAATAACCTAATTACTGGCTAGATTTTTTTATTATTAATTTGACTTTTTATTTTTATTTTTTTTACTCAACCATAAATCTTAAAATCATTGGTTTAGAATTTTGAAACAAAAAATTAACCTAATATGTTTTCCGCAAAACATACAAAGCCATTTCTTTCTCAATTCTCTATCTCTTCTCTTTTTCCTATCCCCATAATATGGAACAAGAAACTCAATAAAAGATCAAGGAAATGGTGAAGGAAATATTGAGCAAAACTGATTTGGAAGAGATGTTTGTGTTTAAAGTCCAAGTCATAGCTTTGAGGTGATTGGGAATCGACCTTTATGATTTAATTACAAAAAGTTTGTTAGAGAAGTGGTCGAGTCATTTCTTCTCTTTACTGTCAATAGAAATGGCGATGGAAAGGAACTTATTCGAAGCTTCCAAAAAAGGAATAAAGGAATGATTAAGGTGTTGGAATGAGCTCTACAGCTAAATGAGATTGGTTAAGATTCCAATCTCGTAAAAATATCATCCACCACATTGAATGATTAAGGATTTTTCTTCATTAATAAGACATCAATTATAATGGGTTATAAGTCTAATTAGATGAAGTCTATAAAATTAATATGCCTTGCAAGAGAATTGTAATAAATTGCAATTATGAGATTCCTATGCACAAAACACAATCTTTAAATGTTACTAGTTGATGTATCATTGAGACTGGATATCAATGATGTCTAGAGATTAGTACATTCTATGTCTTTACTTGAAAAGAAAGTAACTGATCTCATTGGTTAAAAGTATAGAGAGAAAAAGATATAGGCAAAAGAAAACCTAACCCCTTGTGTGCTGCCTCTGAGAGAAAAATAATTTTTTTTTTTACATTTTGGCAAAGGTGATTTTAAAAGAAAAGTGTTGTAAATACTCCCTTGCTAACACATTGAATGGTTTAACAATCCCACCCTAATGTAGGGATTTTCAAAATCATGGTGTGGACGATCATTAAAGGATGTGTTGATCATGTTTTAGATCATATTTAAATTATTTTACAGGATGTTAAAAGTCCTAAAAAGGTTAGGATTAATTGCCATTTAAAATATGCTTTTTGATGTAGCATTATCCCATTCGGTTTTGTGTTGTCCATTGAGAGCACATATATTTCGGTTTGATTTTTTGATTTGGTTATGGAAAATAGTCAACCTTGTTCTGAAGATTCTTTATCCATAAAATGGTCAATCAAGAGGTTACTAATCAGCCATCAACGCAAGTGAAGAATACATGAGATGCACCTTTAATCAATTGCAAAAGGAAACAGATCAATAGTGAGCAATTCGAGTGGCATAGTTCTTGTGGACTTCTTGCTTAGAAGTTTGCTTAATTTTCAACAAACAAATCTTGTGGAATTGGTCCAAATTATATTTTGGATAAGTGGATAGCAGAATCATGAAATGGTCATGATTAAATCGATCGAAATTAAGGAAGAAATTGGAGCAAAAATTGAAAGCTATCCAGCTCACTGCTTTGACGTAAGATTCGATATTAATTGACAAGAAAAGTCTTGAAAATTAATTCTGAAAATTTTCAAAATTAAATCCATATTTGAAATGTTCATTAAGGATTATTTTTGCAAATTTTCATGGTCAAATAAGCTGAATTAAGAAATTAATTGATGATGATACAGAATCAGTTCAGTGTACAATTATAGCCTGAGATTTGATTTTTGTATGGCAATATAATCTTGCAAAATTAATTCTGAAAATTTTAGAATATTATTCTTATTTGAAATATTCAATTAAGGGATTAATTCTGAATTTGAATTAATTTTTAATTGGCTGGATTGCTTAGCAAAATTCAGTGTACATTCAGCTCTACCGTTTTGCTAGGATGTACCCAGGCAAGAATGATGAAAGTGCCCTGTTGATCAAAGAATTGAAGAAGTGAAGATTCGTTATCCTCCATTGCAGTATCAATTCAAAGGGTTTTAATAGTGTTAAAGAATTAGGTTTTGATCATGGTAGCAAACTTTATATAAATTTGAGGTAATTCAGATCTTTGTTTTAGAAAATAAATTCAAGTAAAACGAGAATAATCATCAATAAGAATAACAAAATACTGATAACCATTCACAAAAGAAATGGGAGAAAGGCCCCAAATGTCAGAGTGCACAAGATCAAAAGGTGAATAAAAAATATAGGTACTATTGTTAAATGGCAAAGCTGGTTGCTGAGCAAGTTGACAGTGCAAACAACGAAAAGACTCATCTTTTCTAGATCTTAGCAATCCATGAGAAATTAAAGGACAAAGTTTACAAGGTGAAGCATGACTTAAACGAAGATGCCACTAATACAAGGATGAAATAGATGTAATGGTAGTTGACACATGTTTCATAGAATATTAAGGGAAACAAGCTCAAATAATCTCTTTTACCTTCAACTCGTCTCAAGAAGAAGAGAGAATAATACGACCTAAATCGCATAGTTAACCAACATAAATAAGATTTAATGCTAAAGTAAGAACATAATAAGTACCATGAAGGCTAAGATATAAGTCAGAAGCATGGCTACTATGAGTTATATACATTTTTGTAGCATTGGTGGTATATATGGATAAGAAGGATAAATGAAGTCGATTTTTAGTAGACAAAATAGGTGAATTACAAGTCATGTGATTATAATAGGCAGAGTCAAGGAGCTAAGATGAATTACCTAGATTAACAGAAAGAGTAGTGTAAGAAGAGGAATTAGAGAAGGTGACCTATTTTAGTAGAGGGCTTTATGTCTCTTGTAGAAAGGATAATATT